GGTGATCTTGTGGTCGTGATGTGGTGTTCAACATTGTTGGTTACACACAGTATTTTCTGTCTCATTTTGTAAGTTCGTTCTACTCGTAGAGGACCTTTTGAAAGTATTGATTGGTTTTGCACTTAACCTTGACTGCATATAACCTATAACCAGAAAATAAAGTTCCACTAACTGATAATTTGATATTTCAATTTACTAACCTGTGTTTACTCGGGTCGATGAGTAGATCATGATGTTGTAGCAGGTTTATACAGATGATTGTCATAGAAACATCTACAACAACGAAAACCCAATGAATGGATTTACGTAAATCCACGTTAAGATAAACATATCGCACGGTCGACAATCGCCTTCATTTTCCTGTGGAACTATATGCAAAGAGCATGCTCAATGACTATCAGAGGGACGGATAATACTCAGATATAGCATGCAGTCGAACTCCGTCCTAGAGATTTTAGTTTTATCTGGTGCTAGTCTCCTGGGTTTAGCGAACACCGGTGCCTCTTCAGTTTTGATCGTACGACTTGTCTTTAGTTTACTTTCGAAAGACTGAAGGTCGGTTTGGTTAGGTTTGGAAACTCCCTGAGTATATCCAGGAATGTCTAAATTGTTGCTGGCGGAGTTTGTATCAACATTTAGAGAAGCGACGTGAGTTTCTTTGCCTTTTGTGTAACTCGAAGTTTTCTTTAGGTGTCAAGGGTCATTTTAGTGTCGACTAGAAATTCATATCTCTCTACAAAGTTCATTCCCAGTATTGCCAGATCTAAGTCGGCTACGCTGCACACTCAGGGTAATCGCCTCCTGAACCTCAAGTCTAGAGTCAACGTTTACTGTCCAAACATGTCGATTTTATTCTTGTCGGCAGCCTGAAGTGTGACTGGGGAAGTTTTGCAACCTAACTTGTTTTGCTCTGAAGAATGATACTAAGCGCCACACTTGTATCCACCAAAACGTTCAAACATGAATTTTTATCTCCGACACAAAATAAGAGGCTATTTAGATACCACTTCTCAGTCCATTTCAGCTAGGCACATAGTTGACCGCACCTGTTTGATTCGACACCAAACTTCCAGTGTTAACAACAGAGTTATCAAGATTGTCCGGACGTTTGTGACCTGTTCTGTGATTTGTATCTCGGTCGTTGTGGTGACTTGTTATTTCCCCATAATCCATCTACATTTTGGCTCGAGTCTCTGTGAGACGGTTGACGCTCCCAATGAGTTCTGTTATGACTTAATCTTTTGATGATTCTTCTTTTTGTGTATGATGTATCATATGTGACCCAGGCAGATTGCCTCCTTCCATTATTCTCCTTGTAATACGCTCTAAGCGAGATAAAAGGGTGTTTGCGTCTTGAGCATGTCGGAGTTTTTAACCATCCTTGTTTTAGGACTGCTTCACCTACTGTGTTGTCATCCATCAAGAGTTGGAGGTGAAATGAGAACTGGGACGGTGACCTGTCATCCAATGTTTTCCCTTAAAAAACACTTGGATTCTGTGAACATTCGATACGGATAGATGGCTCATTAGCCCTCGCCTTAAAGCAGCGTATGGTTGTGATATTAGTGACCACAAAACTAAGTTACGGAAGTCTTTGGTGACTGAAGGAGGGTGGAAAGAGCATAAATGTCGATTGTTCATTCCTTCAGATTGAATATTATAACTCGTCATATAATTCTCTAATTGAGCAAACCCCATTTCGGTTTTACTATGTTCAAATTCAGGGAGTCGGAAGATCGTAGTGTCTATTTCTACTCATGACAAATTACATTAATCCTCCAGGCATTCGGTTTGAGTTGAGTATGACATGTTGCATATGAACAATATATTAATATATTTGAACGGAGCAAAATAATGTCTCTAACATGAACGCTTTGCGATAAAAGAACAGTTTATGTAAACACATATATGTTCAAAATTTATGTTAGGGATAGTCAGAAGGTTTGCTTTTACGACAAAGCAAAAATTAACAATAGGCCGGACAGAATACAATCCTTATTATTGATAATGTCGTTAGATTGTGTCCAATAATATTTATAAGATAATGTACGTCGAATAAAAATGATGGCACTAGTAATCGAGAACTATATTTATGGCCCAAAAAATAATGGCAATCCAAACAGGGACAAAGTATGTTCTTTTTCTCAAAAACTCTGTTGTTTATCGATTGAGATAGCTACGTTGAATTCATTTGTTTAAAGTGTAGGGTGCTGATGGTTCTTCATCGACGTAGTCTGTTGTGTTAGGTTCGTGGTGGGGCTCATCTTTTCGGTAGCCTTGTTTCTGACTACAATTAAAACATATTATGATTGTTGTCGAAATGTATAACCCCGCTACCATCGTACATATTTATCCGTCCCATTCATGCTAGAGGATGAAGGAATAAAACAGACCAAATACGAAAACGAATCTTAGATACATATATTTCATGCATTGATTAATCTCAAAAGAAAATCAGGGAAACAAAGAGAATGGAACGAAACACATTGAAGCGGAGAATGTTGTTAGGACGCTAGGCTGAGCCAACTCGATTTTATCAAGCGTGGCTCAATATCTATAGCCAGGCAAAAATAATTTGCGGACAATTAATGAATAGAGTGAGCAATTGGCACACATCCGCTCAAATATAAGCGGTCAGGGTTATTGAACGAACAGTCAACAACGTCAAAGTGTGGATTGAGAAGGATTAGTAAATTGGTCTGTCCAGAAGCTAGAACAACTTATATGGGGTTGATATAGTGCTAGTCACTATAGGTGTTATGGGTAGAAGCGCCATCGAACTCCGAATATCTGTGGCACATGTAGTCGAAACTGATGTAACCTGAATTCTGTATAGACTTCATGAAATATTAGATACTCACCCTATCCGACAGGATATTTTCAAAACATAACCGTTGAGTTATGTAAAGATTATCAATGGGGATCATACGGAATACTTACAAAATAGTAGCACTAGTCTATATATCCTATAGGCGTTAACAAGACATGTTAATGGACTGAAATATGAAGCAACGCAAACAAATTATTGAAGGACGTGAAGTATTTATTTTTCAAGAAAGAAACGTGTTATGAGGAACTATGGCGGTGTTTCTGTCGGATTAAGATGTAACAGTTCGATCACCAAGCAAAAGACAGCAAGAACTTTGTACAAAACTTGTGCAACCAAGCTGTAATAAACTTGGTTGGTTTTGGAACGTGCTGAAACCTCCGAAGATCTCGGAATGATCTACTTTCAAACGGTGAAGAAGTCCATAGACTGCTAGATGGCCGGATGATGCCCAGTCTTACCATATGTTCTGATCCCCTCTTTGCAATCTTCAGCTTGTCCGAAAATAGGTTAAGCTATTTGGCGCAGATTGGTGAACCCGTGGTAGTTATGTGGTGTCTAATATGGTGTGAAGAGCATCTATTTTGGTAATCAACTTTTATATGCAATCGAGCTCTGACAGAATATCGGTGATAACTGTATTTGTCGGTCTAATCACGTAAGTATCGTAAATTTCATAATTAGCAGTTGTAGCACTCATCTGCATGCGAGTGTTCCTGTCTACCAGTTTCTTATCATTCATTTCACCAGTAAATTATAAGCAATGAGAAAATCCGCTCCAAGAATCGGTTGCTTCACTTGTGCAACTATGAAAATCTATGCAGAATGTCGACAAAATCTGAAGTCTAATATTAGAGACTGACTGGTGCCTTCAGTTTATCATATGGGTCTTGTTCCGGCACTTGATCGATTTAGTCACTGAATTTTGCAGCGATCTCGATCAGAAGGACGCTTGTGACCGAATTCCTTGTGCTACAGACAAAGCTTGTTCTTGCAACACATGTGGTGGACCAAAAAGTATCATACCCAAAATTTTTAAGTAGTTAGCAACTACAACTAAAACGGCTTTAATTAGTGATATGTATTCAAAAAAGCATGTAAACGTCGATATCAAATATATTTAAGTTCTGCTGCCGTAACAAAAGATAATTGAGGACAAGAAGAGTATGTGTGCAGAAGTGTAGTTGTGAGCAACAATCAATGAGTCGTGTACAAAAACGGAACAAAAGATCAAAAGTCGTGTTTTTGGACAACAGTTTTACAGTCAGTAATGGTAATTGTACAAATAATGAGAATTAGTGAAAAAGTGAAAATAATAGCGAAATAGCTGATTACAAAATAAGTCATACGTTGACACCGTTGGTTTTTGTCTCAGTGGTTTAGAGGTTAGACTTCGTGTGCGAGACCGAACGTGCTGGGTTCCAGCTCCGTACGCAGGATTATGGGTGCACACTGCTGAGAAGTCTCGCACTGGAACGAAACGGCCGTCCAGTGCTCCCAGGTTTTCAGTGGTTGTTAAGCCTAGATCGACACATGAATTCAACTGTTAAAATTACTAAAATCTCCACGAACCCAGTTCTGATCAAAATAATTGCATGTTAACTACCTTCACAACATAAAAACAATGGATCTTATAGTCTTCCTGTCCACTGAACGAGAATTTGGCGATGTTATCGTTAGAAGTTGGATAATATCAGTCGGTTTCGGGTAGTGCTGAACAGCCTCAACTTTATGCTACAACGGATATATATTATTAATCAGGTTTCAAATCAAACAGACCTCAGAGTATATATACACAAAGTCAAACTTTGTAAAACATCGCCGACATAAACCTAGCACATCTGAAAAGCATAGAATAATCACAAAGATAAATAATATGGCATACTGATCACAATCATCATGAAGTTCAGGAAACTTATCTTGTTTACAAGTTTATTGAATATTGAATGTAGATAAAAAGTTGCTTTACCAAGAGCTATTTGATAAAATGTATGATAAAAATGACAGGCTTTTTCCCAGATTTTCAAAATGTTTCAATAGGAGAGGTTAATTTACTTTGTTTAAGTAGGTTCTAATCCGCTACTGACGGTGCTTGTTTTCACTGTAAGGTCGGTTGTTGTCATTTATCAATTTGTCTAAGTAAATCTAGTTGTACATATTGTACATAGACACTATGGACAGTAAGGTGAATTGCAAGGAACATGTTCTTAAGGTTAACAACCATGAGCTTGTTGATAATGGACATACTAGCTACTTCTCTAAAATGCCCCCTGCAACAGCAGAACAACTGACAATCGCAAAAGTTTTATCTAGGCCAGATAACGATGTAAATATCCGGTGCTACGTTGTTCAGGTATGTTGCTCCTACCAACAGACTAGAGGTTTCAGCTTCAAGAGTTAACTGAGTGTACAGAAGACCAAGCAGTCACTGCATTGTATGACTGCGAAAACAATATTGAGAGAGCAGTTGAGCTAGTTCTAGATCAGTTCCGCTGTGGTGCGACAGAAGAGTGGCACACAACTGTCAGCAAGCGTGGCAAGACAAGGCACTCCCAGTCGGTAGGTACTTAGATCTTATTAAGGAATCTTGTAGGCACCAGAACCCGGGCCGGATATGACAGCACCTCAGAAAAAAGCTCCCAAACCGAAACTAGAAAAACATGTTGAAAATCAAGATAAATTCTCAGGACAAAACGTTTCGGTATCACCTCCAGTTAACGTCACCAAAGTACCTCGAATAACTTTGTAATTTTTTTTTAGAATTCAAACTCTCACCCCGAAAAGTTCAAGAAACCAGGCACAAAGAAAAAAAATCCACATAGAACAGATGCAGTCGCTAGTGACCGCACCTTCATTCCACCACAAAGTCGTAGTGATGATGTGCTGTGTAACAGTTCGAAGCAGTTACCAGAAAGAAAAAGTAGAGTTGAGTCTGAGGGTATGTTCAATTAATTGTTCAACTTGCATTTAGCATGGGATCCGTACGCTGACTGTGGCGAGTGGGAAGGGGATTCAATCGAAATAGTTAATTCAAATGCATCCATTGCCATGGGTCTGCAGGAAGCAGTATCCTTACCACCAGAACTTTTTCATGACAGTCCAAGTTCGGAAAAGTAAGTCTCACCTCGATTATTATTTTTGAGTTTTTAGAAACTTAAACGCAGATTACAATTCGCACGTTGATGCTGTCCAAAACCTAACTAAAGATCCAGATGCTTTGGACGCAGAAGCATTGTTTGCGTCATTTGCCAAAAGTAAACCACCTCCTCGCGCGTTTACTGGAAAGCTAGAGACATCATTATTTTTTGCCCCGGAATTGTTGCCTAGTGAGCAATTTAACTGGAAACCGACTTTCGGTGGTGAGTGTCCTGGTTCACAGTTTAATACCAATACAACTGCAATTCTGAGTCCTGGACAGATTAGCAGTAATACAGACGAACCACTTCGGTCACAAAATGACTCTCGAAATGTCCAAACATCCACGGACCGACCTGATCGCAGTCCGAAGCAGTTTTCGTTCCCACAAATATCCCAACAATCACATTCCAACGATTTTGAACTTAAGAACGCGTCATTAGGCGTTCTTTTAGATCCTCCACCTAAAACAGAGGAAAAAATAAGCAATGTTCCCACTGACTATCCATCGCGACACTACGATGAACAAATGGTTTCCAAAGTAGCACTTTCATATCCGATAAATCATAATAAACAGACACCCTCCATGGTTGCCAGAACTACCAGTGATAAACCCAGCTATTTGGAGCCAAATATTAAGAACTATCTTTTGGATGGTCTGCCGGATAACATGAACAAAATGAACGTTGGAGAGGTCACTGGACAAAGCACAAAAGATCAGCTTTTTATTCAGAATAATGCACAATCATCTCTAGCCCCCTTTACTCATGGTCAAAATGAGCAACACATGATTCCTCACTTGAATAAAATACCCGCCTCGCATGCTAGCACCCACGTATCTGGGCACACACAACAAGTTAACAATTCTCAGGCGACTCATCTTCCTCCAGGTATGCCACACTTCATCAGTCAGTTTGCTCCACCTGCTTATCATATGTTCAATTTACCAGGCGGTTCTAGTACAACTCCTGCTATTTTCGATCTTGATCATTTGCAGCTCTTGCAACAACAGAGGATGCTTTATGATATGCACTTACAGCACCAGGCTGCCACTACCGCTCAAAGTCTTCTTACAGCGAATGTAGATTCCTCAGCATCAGCAAAACCCGTCAGTCACAATTTATCAAATCCAATGGGTCATGTTACTGCTCCAAACACAGGAATGCGACCGGACATGCTGACAACTGCACTTGGGCACACTCCACAGATGATGACACCTGGACACCCTTATTTTCCTTATCCCGGTTTTGTCCTCATGGTAAGTTCAGTATTAACTTTATTCAGTTCATAATTGTTCAAACTACTATGCAACTGCTTCATAGAAGTCAGTCTATTGCAAATATTTTGTGCTCTATAAGCATTTGATAAACGCTTTCCCTTGGTGAAGCTGAAGGAGTGTTTTAGACCCATACAGATTTATAGTACGGTGTCATTTTTGTGTTCCACTTCGTTTTTCTCCAAAATACTACACACCCAGATGTTTATCTCTGCACTGGGTGGGTTATTGTTTTTACTATTTCTTTTCTTCTCCGTGACAGATTTTACCTTCCGTGTCTGAAAGATTTTATTTATTTGAACACATATGCTGGTACAAGGGGGCACCAAATACATATGCGCTACAATAATCTCATTTGATTTATGTGAGAGCTGTGATACTGCCCGTGTGCCCAAACCGAAGCAGGTAGTTTTTTAAGGGGCCACACCCGGAGCCTTCGATCTAAAGGTCTGATCCACATGGCAGTGGAGCATTATAAGAAGATGCAGTCCCATGGTGGTCGGTGACCAACGATTGATTCATACGCCACTTGTTCCTTCAAAATCCTGGAGCTCATATGCAGTCAGGATTATCCAACTCTCCTAGGTGGATTCTCCGTGACCGTCAACCCGGTCAAACTGTCGGACGTTCGCCTTTCGTCCTCTCAATTTCGTAAACAACACCCCCGCCACGAAAAGGCAGTGAGTAGGACTTCCCCGACAGAGGCTATATGCTCGTGGTCATGTGAGAGCATTTCGAGAGGGAGAGCAGACTCTCCCCACCCTCGGCCGTACCAGGGCATTTGAGGGCATCTGAAAGACCACATAAATATTTATCTGACAGCAATAAGATGATTCCAGTTGTCCCTAATTGAATCATTTGGATAATCGGGGTTCAAATGTCTGGTTTTAGGTCTAGGGTTTTTAGTGATTTTCGACCAAATAACTATTGTTCTTGTTAATCATAGGCAGTAAAAGTAGGCCCTGACTCGCGTGTTCATCGGTTGAGTTTGCCACATCAAAATCGCCTAGCAAGCGAAAAAATGATGAGAGTAATACTGTTAACTGCGACAGGAGTGTAAACGGAAAAAACCGCATTTCAAGATGAATAAATTGTGTCGAAACAAAAAGGTATGAAATGACAACCTAAGGCTAAAAAAGGATAATAATTGCAACTGCCTCAGAGCAATCGACTTTAAGCCGTATTTACACACGTTTCCAGGTATGGGTTACTACCATCCTGTGAATTTATCAAAACGAACCCAGCGCATAATAACAGCTAGTGACTTTACATATATTGTGTCTATTAAACATCTTTTCAGTCTGCTGTACCAGCTGTGTTGTACATCAGAGCAGATGTTTGTTAGTCATGCGTTACGCGCTCCGTGGGCATAGGATCACCCAGAAGACCTACTTGCCATTACTCCCTGATAAAATGTGACCAAAACATCGCCCACTCGGTGATCTAATTTACGGGAAGGGTTTCTGAAAAATCCATGATCGAATACTTACTACCTACACATTTCTTGTGTTTCCGTCGACCGTACTTTACAGCTTCGGAACAATACAGAGTAGGCTACTGTAAACTATAATGCCAGGTGTACATGTATTCCTGCTAAATTATATTCATCGACTGGCTAATTAGAACTAAAGTAATTTTCAAGATAAGTGAACTGGTAGACTGTTTCTTTCGGTTATCCAGCTGGGTAGTTATATGGACCAGTCCTAAGTCTTAAACCCATCTCTACTTATGTCAGCATCTCCACTAAACAGATTTGGATTTTGCAAATATTTTGCTAGATTGATCCCTGAAATGTCAGGTAAAGAAAGTGGAGAGCCCTATCGACCGTCAATTGGGATGACCAATTCAGATGACAGGTTGCCATATGCTCTTGATCAGTAGAATTCGAAACGTTGATATACTTTTTATGCCTTTAAATGACAGCGACTACCATAAATCATGTTGACCAGAAAAGGCAAATGAAGTTTTAATGTTAAGAGCGTCGGTTTGCTTACACCCATAAACTTGACTTGGAGTGGATATTTAGTCAGCTCACTCATGTCTAAAACCAGTTTAGTTTTACTGCGGGTCACTGTCCACAGCCTCCAGTTTAGCATTAGGCTGTTTTCGAAGCTAAGGTTTCGAATACAATATTGGTAAGATTGATTTCTCTGTAGCTTTCATAAGAGGACTTTTGTCGTTCCTGTAAACAGTCAGTACTCTTGAAGAAGTTATTACACGAGTCTAGGTCTTCTCGAGTCATATCTGTCTTTTCTAATAACATTGACACTGCTACTAGTACTACTCTGGCACCTCGTCCTGACGTGTGGTAACTCAAAGCCACACACATGTGCCAAGTTGTACGTTGAGTTTGGTTGACTGAGTGTTCGCGACTAACCTGATAGAATTACCTACAGCTACCAGGTTACTGGTACGGTACCTCAATCAATGTAACTGTTGGCACTAAACGTCCATCCATAAAGGAGTTTGTAACTAATCCATCAAGGTTAGGTCTCCCTGTTGAGAGTCTAATATCAACCTCACCACAGCCCTTGATGAAAATGGGTAGCTGGAAAGTACCTGTCCCTCAAAACATCCTGTCTTTTCGGTAGTTTGGTTTGAAAACATGTTTTTCAAACATAGTTGTACTGATAAATAACTTTAATTAAAGTTTTTAATGCTTCAACATAGTTGTGTAGGGTTACCTATTCTCATTACGTTCTCTGTTACCCGCTTCAATTGTCTTGTGAATCTCGGTGGTCTTGAAGGTCTGGTGTTTGACGGAATTCGCTATGCTCTCATTTTCAGCTTTCTGTGTAATGAATTGGCATATTCATCCACCTCAACCGAACTAGGTGCATAATTATGTAGCAGTGCACCAGAAGAAAACTAGGGGCGGACGAACCAAAGCATGACATCAATCCAGTTCATAAAGTCATTGAGGATTAGACTTGTCCATGTTAACAGGTGTCGACTACGTGGTTGGTGTCCACGTGATTGTCCCACCAATGGCTAGAGACTTTGAATGACATGGCTCAAAATCGTTCACAGTGGTCCAGGTGATCCGTTCGTTGTCTTCCTCCAAATTATGAGATTCTAAACTCATAATTTTTATTGCTATTGTTGTACTAATTTATATTTTCTCGAGTCGTATTCTTAATGCCCATTCTTTTATTTCTGCTGTTACTGTTACTACCTCTACTATCCTGGGGTTTGATCTGAAAATTTTGTCCCACTGTTCTAATGAGGTCTGACAACTTTAAACGATGTACATACGTACCATGTTTAACGTCGTGACTGACTGCTGTCCAACAGCGTCAGCAGCGAACATGGGAATCGGTTTGGTAATGTATTCTTTCGCATCTCATTTCCACGGTGTGTTCGAATCAAACGCGATTATGAACTACTATGGTACATACTTTTTCAACCTGTTTGGTAGAAATATCGCGTCCGTATCATCAATGTTTGCTTGCGAATAGACCTAATTGCTCTTTCGAATCTCTAGATCCCAGGATAATTATATATAACCTGAAAACTTTCTCATCATTTTTGACTTATTCACTGTATTATTACTATCTGTTGTTCAGAATGGTTATCCAAATCCATTTTTAAACCAACAACAACCAAATTCAGACAATCCCCAAGTTCAGAATCCTGGTCAGTGTGCATCACCAATTACTCAGCACCAATCCCAGCTAAACCAAGCTCAATCTTATAATAATCTCAAACAACTGGGTAATGGAGTTGGAAACTATGAAGATTTGTTAGATGTCAAGTATGGTGACCCATCCAAACAAGGTTTGTGTCATAAAGCTAATTTTTAATTAAATGAGTTTGCTGTTTTGCGAGTTCCAATTACTTTCGTTATAAGCAATAGTCGACTTTATTGGTTAAAGGAATGTTATTTTATCAGTATACTTGATTAGCATAGTATAGTGGTATGTAAAAGTCGACTTTACTTTTTTTATTTATATACCACGCAGGCATAGTTTCGACCGATTTAAACCACAAGTCAATTTAAACCTCTTTATTAATCGTCCTTAGCCAAAATAGAGCCTGGGAAAAATACTTGTCAGTTCGAGTTGATCGAGTTGCATACCAAATTAGCTAGAGAATATCAAATTATCCAAAATTATTGTAGTAGTACTAATAATGAAAAAAACTTAACACTGAGAATATAGTTTAAAATAAGTAGTGGAAAGGTATGTATGAAGGTTAACTGGGACGTAGAGGAAAGTTTATTAAATGCTCTTCCAGCATCATGACCAGTTCTGCAACATACCACCTAACTTTTCCAACCACTAGTCAATTATCGGTCCCTAAACAACTAGTAAATAACCATTATTATTTTTCTGTTTCGGTGAAGAGTGATCCTTTATTTTATCTCTAAAATGATGCTAAGAGCAGACTAAATTTCCGATCTCATGAGTTTACCTTTACTATAATTAAACAACTGAAACTACATATTTGTCACCTACTGTCACTTTAGTAATCCTTATAGTGATATCATAGAGCTAACGTATTTAATGTCATTCTATGATAGGATGTTCATAATAAATCCATTGATTTGTAATTTACAACCTATGTATGTATATTAAACGATTTTCATGTTTTTGTATTCTAGTTGGTTTCAAAACCAGCTCAAACCCACCCAACTATAGTTCATTTCAATCTCAAGGAATGTCGTTAGATTCTGTCGGTGGAAAGTTATCTTCTGCCTCTCATTCCAACAACGGATCTCTGGTTCAAAACTTTAACCATGGAAATAGCAATTCTCATGCACAGCACTTTTCACCACAATTTTACGCATCTGTGTCGGGTTCACCATACATGAACACAGTTGCTGCCGCTGTAGCTGCAGCAGCTGCTGCTAAACATGGACCCAATAACAGCTCTACTGTCAGTACAAATCAATCTAATCCAAATATCGGTGTTGCTACCAACCAAGCTGGCGCTGTTACTGGGCAAAACCAAATACATTTACCTGGGACCCCGTCTCAAGGAATGGTCTTGGGTAATGCAGGTCAAAGTTTACATCACCAACGTGCTCCAATTCCACACGCACAACACTGATTTAAATGAATTACTGATAAGGTTATTGTATTGAGCTAGTTGTTGTCTGTCACTGCTTTGGCTAACCTTAAAACAAAGTTGTCCATAGAGTGGTTTTCTACTCGATTTCACTTAGGCGGTCGAGACATTTGCCTTTTAGATTTTTGGCATGTGTAAATATATACAAACGTCCTACCAAGATTATTACATTGAGACATGTTTTCTTCCCAATTTATGTTTCTGCGAAATGCTTGCATTAGGTTTCCACTTTAACTTCTTTTTCTTACCGATGTTCTCATCCTCATACTTTGCATATCTCTCATGAGCTTTCGTTTTTGTATCCATTATACTCGTTCAGCTTGATCCTAACAAATCTAAAGCGCTGATCTAAAATAAATTTATTTGACGTATCTCTTGGTTTTTTATTAGATTTTTAGTCACATTGCTGATTGTCGTTATTGGTTTTCAGGGGACTGCATAATGGCAAAATCTGTTTGCCTAAAAAATCCACATGAATGGCATCCTTATGTTTATCAATATGGGTATTATGATCCAGTAACAGTTGGTAGTATTGATGGTACAGATACGACTCCACATGATAGAGCAATTCAGCGCGCCTTAACGTCATCCTATAGGAGTAAAGACCACGTTTTTAACTGGGATCCAAAGGTACACATCAATGTTTGACTTTGTAATTGAAATCGTTGCTTACACTAGTTTATTTCCTCAAGGTCGAACAATATCGAATAACAGATACTTCTGTTTTTTTTCACAACACACTTCATGTTAGGGACTGATTATCTCTAAAAGTTCTGGTAATGTGTTGTTTCCATTTACTAGTAACTTGTGGGTCTTACGGGAACTTGATGTAATAGGTCTGGTCAATGTGACTGGTAATTTGGGTTTACGATATGAAAGGCTGGTATGTTGTACATCCGGGTGTTTACTGATAATAAAGGGAGATACCACAGCCAGGACTTCCTACTGATAGCTTGTAATCATCTAGTGCAATTGATTACAGTGGTTCTGTGTACGGTCAGTTCGGCTAATCGCTTTCGCAGCTTATGAAACGGTCATTGCGATCTGTCAGTTTACCGACTTACATATCTTCGCGATTCGGTTGTCACTCAAATTTCGGAATTAAAGTGATGAAGTGGATTGTGTGTTCAACGATGATATTTCACTCAAAATAGGACGTAACATTACACGAGGTGTAGTTGGGATATGGATCACCATATTTTGCGATAAGATGTGGAATCTTTTCCATTCAAAACACCAAATACTATTTGTTTACATTGATGAATTTGGGAAACTGGACTACTTGTAAAAGGTTTTGTGTTATACACACAGTCATGTATTCGTTATGCACAGCTCTAATTTGTGGCTCAGGAAGCTAACGGGACTATTCTTCCGTATTCAGATTTCTCTAGTCTAAATCACGATTTGTAAAGTCATTCATACCCACTCTTACAATACGTCGTGTTTATTCAAAACGTAATTGCTAGTGAGAATTGGTATAGTTTCGTGGGTGCACACTGCTGAGGAGTCTCATAATAGGGCGAAACGGCCGTCCAGTGCTTCCAGGTTTTCCATGGTGGCCTAGCTTCGATTGACTCTTGAATTCGACTATTCTGTTGTATATCTTTAATTTCCACTTATTGGAAGTACTCGTTTGGCTCTTTAATGTTGTGACTGGTCGTTAGGGACTCAAGTATTTTTGAGTGAATAGTTTATTCACATAGACTAGTTGAGTTGTCGAGTTAGCGTTATTGGCGTACTCGGACAATACAACGCCTATTTATGGTTAGTAAGTTGTAGTAACGGTATATAGAATATTCTCAATCATAAACCAAAATTCACCACGGATTATAGATCTTATAGATCTCTATTACGAGTGTTTCCTCATTTGAGTTGCTGGTATTCGTTATTTGGTGCCTATTTTGTATCGACCTATTTTTTTTATCTGTTCAGATTGTTATACTGAGGAAGGAATGATAATTGTTTGCTAAACCAAACGTATGAATGTTATTGTTGCCGTAATCATTACTGTTTACATCTAATCTTTTCTTTTTTGTTGTTAATACTGAGGCTACAATATTTGTAGGAAGGCTACCTTATCACACTTCAAAAATTTGTTTACAAAAAGCACTGCATGAACTGTTGAATAAACACTTAGGAAATGATTTAAATAGTAAATCTAGAAAATACTGTCGTAGTCGTTCCCCATTTTCCTGCGATGAAATTTGGCCAAAAATTCATCTTGTTCACAACATTGTTACTGGCTATCCATGTGGCTATGCATTTGCATATTTTTCATCAGAATCAGATGCCGAACGTGTACTGCGTGCTTGGCGTAATCAAACTACTGTTTCAACGAAATTATACTGTGGACTAAAAGATGAACGACACTGTGGTTTAGATATACCTAATGGTGATAAGGTTCGTTTCGATATAGTTTTATAGTGTTAATATAATGTATAATGTCACTGCTAATTCATTTTAATTTAAATGGAACTAAACAATGGAGCACAGATTGTTGTAATTGAATTTGGAAAAAGCTTCGTGTATTTAAGGCTAGTGTCACTATTCAACTCATAATCCTGTGATTGAAAATCCATTTCTATAGCTACTACGTTAACCAATCTAATTTGGTGATTACTGAAGTGGAGGTTATCTTATGTTACGATATGACAAATGTTACTGTTCGTGAATAATTTCCTGTAGTAGCTCACTTATATCATTCAGCTTTCTTAAATTTTATAATAGGAATTGAAGAGGGAGATTGATTATGAGTACAGTGATCTTGATTGACGTTAGAGGTATGAGGGCGGTTTGCATTTCCCGGTTGCTCACACCGTGAAAGGGTCTTTCTAGAGGTACCTGAAAAGGAAATTGGGTTAGAGGTGGTTTTTGGTAACTTGAGAGCGTGACCGCAGTGCCCAAGGGACAACTGGTTGAGGTCGGTCACATACGACCTTTTTGTGAGTAATTTTTGTGTTAGCTCCGTACTTGTTGAGACCTTACCGCCGGAGATGGATATCCGTGGGATAAGGCGAGGTGTGCATTTTTAGGGTTGACATTTTCTGACCACAACCCTCCTTGTGGGTAGGCAATATCGCTATCATGCTGTTTGTCTGAAGGGAACACCTTACTGCCGTCACACCTCTGTATAGTCAGCAGTACGACTTCGCCTTCGGACCTTGGACTTGCTGCTTTTAGTCTTACCGCTCTTCAACTGACTAGTCTGTCATGGTAGGACCTTGAGGAACGGTTGTTCCAGCCAGTATAGTTCGATTGGTCCATCACGATAGACAAGCCCGAACATCACTTCAAGGTAGCAGCAACGGTTGGGGTATGGCAACTTGGACCGATGCACATATGTGCCTTGTCCTACGTTGTAGCTGACTGACTGACTGAATAGTAATAATAAATAATGCGGATGTGGAATTGTGCATCATTGGTTTGAAATCACGATTTTGCAACTCCACTAGGTAGGCCCCCCGCGAGGAGCTTGATAAAAGGACGGAATATGTACCCAGTGATTCTTGCTTTTCAATGGCTTTCTAACCCAGGTCAATGTAAACTACAAACTTGAAATAGTTGTCATCCTTCATCAAGTTCTTGTATAACTGAAAACATGGAAAACTCATAATTATGTGAACTAATTTATACAATCTAAGTCAGTCAGTCGTCTACAATGTAGGACCGGGCACATATGTGCATTGGTCCAAGTTGCCATACCTCATTAGCACAACAAGATCAACACAAAATTCATAGAAGTTACTTCAATGGTAGTAATATATAAAAGAAAGATTGCATATAAGGATATAATACAGGGAAAAAGAATTAGTTCGTAGAAAGAAAGATATGAAGCGACTTTAACCTCACGGTTTAAGGGAAGACAAAGAGTGTAAATACTGTTATTGTGATCGATTCTGAGCTATGTCTGCAGAGTCACGCAGACCCCAACCAAGTGGTCTGCATTTAGCAACATGGTTCAGAATAGAAGTCAGTGACTTCAAGGACTGATATCATGTTTTGGTTTGGCCGCCCCTAACTTTCTTACAATCATCCTCAACACTAATCAGCATTGTGCGTCCTGGTAATCGGTGTTCAGGCATACGCAACACATGGCCCAACCATCTCAGTCGATGAAGATTCACCACCTCATCAACTGATTTACTATCATTCCGTAATACCCTCCATCTAACCTCACTGTTACTTAACTGGTGATCCTAGCAGATGCTGGCAATATTTCTAAGGCATCTGTGGTCAAATATAAGTAACCTACGAATAGTATTACTACTATTAAAACAATTGCATCCCTGCTTCGAGTTAATCAATTAATAAAAAGTATAAACATCTGTTGCTTTTTAATTTTCCCTGTTGGAATATTCATGGTCAGCTATCTTTTTTAATCAATTTATTTATTTGAACACAGATATTGGTAAAAAGGGGCACCGAATACATATGCACCACACAAGTCACTTGATTTGTATGTGGGCTGTGGTACTATCCGGGTGCCCAGACTGAAGCAGGTGGTTCCCTTAGGAGGCTACGACAGGAACCTTCAACCTAAACGTCTGATCCACAAGACAGTGGAGCAACGTCGGGAGACGTAGTCCCATGGTAGCCGTTGACCAATAATTGGATTATACGCTATTTGTTCCTTTACGATTCTGGAGCCCTTGTGCATCATTGGAATTTCGAGTGGGAGAGCTGACTCTCCCCACCAGGGCATTTGGGGGCTTTTTTAAACATGTGGCAAGCCCATTTGGCCACTGTATCATCTGTCTATTCATTGTAACTTAGACTCTTAATTCACTATGTTAATTTCGGTGTGTATGATCGAATGCATGTCTGTACATTAACTTTTAAACTATTTTCCTATTGGTTTCAACGTGCAGATAATCGATAATTTATACACACCCGATTAACCCTCAAATATATATGGATTTTTAACAAACTCACACTCTCTCTGTTCCCATCGTGTGCTTGCTCACAATACGCTTGTGGATTATCATTATTCATTAATAATAAACTATCTCCATAACTGGTGTTCAGGCTTCTTAATAATCTCGAGTAAATCCGTAATTCCACTAGGAGATTAAGCCTACCAAAAATACTCAGTTACGGAATATTATTATTTACTGGAGTCAGATATTAAGGACATTATCCATAACATATTGGTGAACCGCTTTTAGAACACACACCATTCCTCTACGAATTCTGCTGCATACTCTCCAAGCGTATCTTAAAGAACTTCACATTGGAATTACTATTACAATTATTAACAATTCATTAACCGTCATAATAAATCCATCCATAACATTGTTCCTTTGGAATTATTGCTGTATATTCGCATATTTAAACCAAAAGTGACAGTTTTTCTTTTTGGTGAGTCTTATATATATATTTTTTGTTGTTATTTTTTATTTCTCTTCATATTGTATATTACAATCCTCAGCTTATTATTACTATTGCTTTTTCGTATCATGGCACTTGATAATTCGTTAAGCCTTTCATCTAAATCTATTTCCGTGGGTGCCATCTCTGTACCTTTACCTACTTTTAATCCACGAAAGGCTGAACTCTGGTTCGCTCGTTTAGAAAGCTTTTTTGTAGCAAACAAAATCACAAACCAGAGTACGAAATTTAGTTATGCAAATTCACTGCTGCCAGATGACGTCATTGAACAAGTGCCGGATGTCATTTTTGAGCCGGATCCTGACTCACCATTCGATTGTCTAAAAAGAGAGGTCATTCGTGTCACATCTCTCACCGACCAACAGACAATTGATCAACTTTTAGCCAACGTAGAGCTAGGTGACAATACACTGTCACAGTTAAAACGCCACATGACAAACTTATTAGGAAATCGTACAGTAGACAAACGTCTACTATATCAATTGTGGCTCAGACGTCTCCCTCAAAACATTCAACAGATATTAGCAATCGGAGACGAAGACGTTGATTTTGATAGACTAGCAGACATAGCCGACAGAATTTACGAACGGTCCAAGACTCACCTTGTATCTCAAATCCAATCAAGCTCAGCTGACGAGATCACCGAGTTACGACGATCAGTTGATACCCTTACGAAACAGATAGCTCAGATCCAATTATTGAATGCCTCCCACGGCAAGCGTAGAGGAACATCCACAAGCCGTAGACGACGTAGTCCAAGCACTACTAGACACAACATTTGTTGGTACCATAGAACATATGGCAAACAAGCTAGAAAATGTACTCCGCCTTGTAACTTTGCAAGCACACAGAAAAAGGGACGTCAAGACCGCAGGTTAATGACGACTGCACTCACTGACCACAACTCTCAAGACAGTCGTCTATTATATGTTACAGACAAAAGAACCGGCACACAGTTTTTAGTCGACACTGGGGCAGAGGTTAGTGTAGTACCACCTACTGCACTCGAGAAAAACACACCTGACCCCAAACTAAAACTACAAGCTGCAAACAGGTCTGACATCAAGACGTACGGCAAAAGGCGGTTGCAATTAAATTTCGGTCCTAAATCTAATTTTTCCTGGAGTTTCATCATAGCGGACGTCCTCGTTCCTATAATCGGCATTGATTTTCTGCAATTCCACAAAATACTGGTAGATGTCAGAAATAGGAAACTTGTCCTTGCCGAACAGAGTAAGGAAATTAGAGGAATTATATCAAATGAGACTTCCATACATTTATTAGTTAAACCTCATCATGAGAACGACAAATACGTCAATTTACTTAATCAGTTTCCAGATTTATTACGACCGAGTTTCAAACACGACAAACCGACGCATACCGTCGTACACCACATAAAGACAGAGGGTCCACCTGTGTTCGCACGTCCAAGACGCCTTGATCCCTCTCGTCTGGCTATCGCAAAGAACGAATTCAACAAAATGATTGAGTTGGGCATCATACGCCCCTCCGATAGTTCGTGGGCATCACCGCTTCATATGGTACCTAAGAAAAACTCTTCCGAAGTTAGACCGTGCGGTGACTATAGAGCTCTCAACAGCCGGACCATACCAGATAGATATCCTCTCCCACATCTGCATGACTTCACTCATAGCCTATCTGACGTGTCGATCTTTTCAAAAATTGATCTCGTCCGTGCTTACCATCACATTCCAATTCATCCGGACGATGTTCCTAAAACAGCCATTACTACCCCCTTTGGACTATACGAATTCGTCCGCATGCCTTTCGGATTAAGGAATGCTGCACAAAGTTTCCAGCGTTTTATTGACCAAGTGGTACGGGGCTTACCGTTTGTGTATGCTTACATAGATGACCTACTTATAGCAAGCAAAGATGAAAATGAACATCTAACTCATCTGAAAATGCTTTTTGAGAAGCTAAACGAGTATGGGTTAGCGGTCAATCTTGACAAATGTGAGTTCGGAAAACAATCCCTCACCTTTTTAGGTCACGTACTTGATAAGCAAGGCATTAAACCAGTTCCTGAGGAAACACAAGCTATCAAAAATTATCCTTTGCCTGATTCATTCAAGAAACTACGACGTTTCCTTGGGATGATAAACTTTTACAGACGCTTTATCCCTAAATGTGCAGACATAGCAAAACCACTAACTGATTTATTAAGGGGACGAGCTAAATCATTAGCAATGACACCGCAAGCAATTCAAGCATTTGATCAGTTGAAAAGCGCTTTAAGCACAGAGGCATTACTCGCACGACGAAAGGTTGATGCACCTTTAGCAATAATGACCGACGCTTCTAACGTAGCAGTAGGTGCTGTACTTCAGCAACGTGTCAATGAACAATGGCAACCCCTTGCATTTTTCTCAAAAAAGCTGAACGCAACGCAAACGAAATATAGCACATTCGGTAGAGAACTGTTGGCTATCTACTTAGCCATCAAACACTTTCGCTACATGTTAGAAGGCAATTCTTTCACGATATATACTGACCACAAACCCCTAACTAAGTCCTTGATGCACAATCATGATAAATATAGTCCGCGCGAAATTCGTCAACTAGAATTCATTTCACAATTTGCAGCTGATATACGCTATATTAAAGGCAATGCAAATGAGGCAGCAGATGCACTATCGAGATTAAATATCAATACCTTCTCGATCCCTGATATAGACTATCAAGAAATGGCAAAGCATCAAAAGGTCGATACGGAGCTACAAAAGCTTTTGCAGTCTAAGGAAACGAAATTATTATTCCAAAACATCCCCATAAACAACAAGGACACCTTAACTTGTGATACCTCAACAGGCAAAACTCGCCCTTTTGTACCTTTCGGTATGAGACGAAATATTTTTGAGAAAAAACAGACAACTGTAAAACCATCTAAACCTGCAGCAGAGCAAGCACCATTCAAACTACCTGCAACAAGCAACACTTCAAATCGAAATTCAGCAGCAGCACAAACTACAACAAGATCAGGAAGGAGAGTACATTGGCCAGATAGGTATGTAGCAACCACCATATTTATCTAGACCAAATCCTGAGACTACTCTTATAACACATAAAAATCCTATTTTATTTTGATTACTATTTTTTTTAAATTTTATTGGCCCCACGGATCATCATTATGCTTACATTTTAACTTTATACAATTCATTAATGTTAAATATACACTTGTATATACATGATATACAACGTTTCAACACACAAGCTGTTATTACAATTTTACGCTTACTCATCATATTGAGTTGTACTTTTATTTTAAAAACAGTTCCGTTCTTTATCTCTTTGTCGAACATAGATGTTAATCCAATTTTTTTTTTTGGTACATAAAAACATCAATGTTCTGGATGGGAGCTTATGTGGCAAGCCCATTTGGCCACTGTATCATCTGTCTATTCATTGTAACTTAGACTCTTAATTCACTATGTTAATTTCGGTGTGTATGATCGAATGCATGTCTGTACATTAACTTTTAAACTATTTTCCTATTGGTTTCAACGTGCAGATAATCGATAATTTATACACACCCGATTAACCCTCAAATATATATGGATTTTTAACAAACTCACACTCTCTCTGTTCCCATCGTGTGCTTGCTCACAATACGCTTGTGGATTATCATTATTCATTAATAATAAACTATCTCCATAACTGGTGTTCAGGCTTCTTAATAATCTCGAGTAAATCCGTAATTCCACTAGGAGATTAAGCCTACCAAAAATACTCAGTTACGGAATATTATTATTTACTGGAGTCAGATATTAAGGACATTACCCTCAACAAACAAATTATTTTATCCTTTTAGCAATATAGTTTTGTCAAGATTTCTTGCTTTTTTTTAATGTAATTTGATTTAGAGTACTATTGAATTATCCGAATTTCTAGTAGATGGTCTTTACTTTTGAAGTTAGTCAAGTTAAAAAAATTTTTCATTAGGTAGCTATCGGTATATTTAATTGGAGGTTTGTTCTCTGAACTGGATCGTTTGGTTGTGAACCTTCCATTGTTCTTCTGAACAACGAATATGTCGTCATTATCATAAAGGTCGAGCTGGAAGACGCCTACACTCTTGACAATAACGTCTTTGATGATATGAAATTCTCAATGGAAAAGGAGTCGAACAACAAGCCATCATTCTTGGATGTATTAATCACTAGAGCCGATACAAGAAAACTGGAGATACCTGGATTATCGGAAGCCGACCCACACAGATCAAATTCTCATTTACAATAATAACAACCCAATAACTAAAAAATCAACTGCGTAAAAATTTTATTGAGAAGGGTGAAAACACTGCTGCACACTTGCACTGCGTAAAAACGAAGGAAAATATCCAATGACTAACCTTCAAAAGAACGGCTACCCAATTAACTTTAAAAAATATCAACCAGACTCACCAACAGAGACAAAATCAAGTACAGAAGCCGACAAATGGATCATCCTACCATATATGAATGACATCGGAAATCACAACGAGGTTATTGAAGCTGTTTAGAATAGGTGTAGCACACAAACCAACAAAATCACTTCAATCTGTCCTATGCAAACCGAAAGACGAAATGACAAAAGAAGAAGAACGGAACATCATCTACAAAATAAATTGTTCCAACTGCGAAAAACACTACGTCGGACAAAGTGGATGACTCCTTTATCTCCTCCCACGAACATCAATTAGTAGTCAAAAGTCGTGACATATCCTCGCTTATATCAATTCATGTGTACATACATTCGACTGGAAAATTGTTGAGATCATAGAGACGGGGAATACTAAGAACATCAGAGAGTTTTTAGAAGCTTGGCACTCAGGTCAATCAACAAACATATTGAAATCGTTCCAATTTATCAACCAATCAGAAAAATTATGTACAAATATGGAGCCAAGAATCAGATCAAAAGGAGATACAATCCCAATAAAAAAGTAAACAATGATAGGTCAAAGATCAATAATAACGAATGAAGATCGGGGTCTACAGGACAAGCTGTGAACCATATGTGGAGAAATTCGAACACTTCACTTCTATCTGAAGTTCGTGTTGATGATGTCGTTCAGAAGAACGATGAAAGCACCACGATTAAACCATCCAGCTCAGAGAACAAAACTCAACACAAATCATCCACCTTAGCTACAAATCGCCCCCACCATCACTCCATATTTCATATAGATCGAGTTTTAAAATGTGAATTCAAGGATTTCAATGAAGTGATCTAAGAAAATCGTGACTTCTGTAAAACTTCAATCATAGGATGGTTAATCATATTTTGTCCCTTAGAAGGATCTAACAACGTGAAGCATGGTGTTAAAAGAAACTCTATGGGTTACAGTAGTTCCTTACCTCTATGATATTTTCGTTCAGATTTTAATATTGTCCGCTCATTACGTTTCCCTGTTTTTGGTTTATTGCTAAATCTCAGGTAATTTTAGAACCGTATTTCGGTGGTACACTGCCTGGTTGGCGACCACGTCGTCTTGGTGGTGGATTAGGTGGTCGTAAAGAAGCTGGGCAGTTACGATTTGGCGGAATCGCTCGTCCTTTTAGACGTCCGTTTACTGCAAATAATGCATCTTTGACAGAAAAGAAAACAAAGTTTTGCAGAGATTAAACTTTATTCACTTAGAAAATTACAATTGATTTACACATATGGTCATCGAAGTATTGATATGAATATCTAAGTGTTTTCATTTGTATTTCTTGGTTGTTATTTTTTCTTTAATAATTTTCTTACATTCTTAACATGGTTTTCGAATTCCAGGGAACCTGTAACTGATATTACATACAAGGGTCTTATTGATAGAATAGTGAATAACTTACGAAATTGATTTTCTTCAACCTCCTACTACAAATCATATTCATTTTTCTGTTAATATTCTGTATATAGGCATATTATTTTAAAACGAAATTCATTCTATTAGGCAACTGCATTGTTTTCGTATATCAGTCCAACAGAGGGCTCACGTCAATAATTCATTCTTGTAAGTAGCTATCATCCGAACGAATCATATCGTTGAATATTAGTATTTGTTCAGTGCATTCCACTCATTAACCAGACGATCGCCAAACATATTGTGACCTGTACTGACAATCATCATGTGCTCATTAATGACTAACTTCAAGAGGTAATTCAGAAAGTTCTAGTGAGAAGCCGTGACCAGTAGGGCTCAACCGTATCGGGTTTGAGGCAGTTATCCGCTGAACATAATAGAAGATGGTCGCCCAATATTGTGGATTGGTTGGAGTTAGACATTAACCCCGTTGGATACGGCTCAGTGATCTAGAGGTTAAGGGATAGCGCATGCGATCGGAGAATCTTGCTTTTCTTTTTGTGTATATTGAGACCTACTACTGCTGAGGCTGCTGCTACACTGGTAGTCTTCTCCTGCATTTGTTGTTGCGTTTGGGATAGAAGGGCTAGATCATCTGCGAAGACTAGATAGTCTAACTGCATCCTAGATGTCCACTGTATCCCGTGCTTTCCTTCAGATTTTGGTGTCTTCATGATCCAGTCGATCACCAGGAGAAAGAGAAAGGGTGAGAGTAAACAACCTTGCCTGACACCGGTCTTTATTTCGAACGACTTTGTCAACTGTCCTCCATGCACGATTTAGCAGTTTAATCCATCATAGGAATTCTGTATGATATTGACTATCCTCTGAGGCACGCCGTAGTATCGAATAAGCTTCCATAGTGTTATTCTGTTCACGTTGTCAAATGCTTTCTCGTAGTCAATGAAGTTGATGTAGACTGATGAATTCCATTCAATTGATTGTTCCACAATGATCCGTAGAGTTACGATTTAGTCTGTACACGATCTATCCTGTCTGTTGGTCTCAAAGTTGGGCGTCCACGGAGTCCATCCTGTTTAACAATACTCTTTTGAAGACTTTTCCTGGTAATGAGAGAAGAGTGATTTCTCTGTAGTTATCACACTTGCTGAGATCGCCTTTCTTTGGTATTTTGACCAGAAGTCCTTCTTTCCAGTCTGTTGGTACTGGTTCCTCACCCCAAATCTTATTGAAGAGAACATGGAGTATCCTTGCAGTTACCGCTACGTCTGCTTTTAGTGCCTCTGTTGGAATGTTGTCTGGTCCTGCTGTTCTGTACAAATTAGAGTATATTAATCTAGAAATAATTTGTAATATAGAAACTGTAGGTTAGTTTAATGATTTACACTAAACACAATGCCATTTTATTAGGCTTCAACAAACCCTATTTGGTAATATCTAGCTACGAAAATTATTTAATTCGATTCTCGATTAAGACGTTGCATCGGTCCATAAAGTCATTGACTGTTTGAGGACAAACCACAAAATCTTCACAATCAATATTATCTAGGTCAAAGGAAACGACAAATGAAGATAAGACGTCATCTACAGAATAAACAATAACGACCGGGAAGAACATTACATAGAATAAAATGGCCACCATCCACGCCTATGTGGAACATCATCTATCTGTTAAACTCCATGGCGTAGCTTCACTTATTCCGATGCTTGTGAACAACTGTGGGCATGTGTTCGATTGAGAAAGCATCGAAATATTGGACGGGGAACCAAATAAGTTTTAGGAACTCAGCACCTCGAACACATCGAAATTAATCCAATCTGTCAGTCAATAAGGGAAAAGCTTAACAATGAGGTCAGAGTTCAGGTGAAGAGTGATAATTATTAAAAGAACACATGAACAACAACTGACCAAACTTTAGGTCAACAAAACGAGCTGTAAGTGGATTATGGGAAGATTTTAATAAGCTAACTTTCTTTATGGTATGTGCCGATGATTTTGTCTGAACAGACTACAAAAACTTCAAAATCAAACCATTCATCTCAGATAATATATCACCTCAGAAAGAATTGTGCCACTCAGTATTTGAATGGAACTCGTAGTGCGTTCAGTAACAGTTAAACCTTAAAAAATCCCATCATACTGAATAAATGAAAAATATCTACATTTAAGGCAAGTAGAGCCTTTAAGATTATTTCATATAAATCTAGAATTGTTATTGTCAAAATGACTTATGTCATTCAAAATTGAATAAGTGGAGATTTTAAAAGTAAAATAACCTCATTCGATTTTCCGCTAACAGAAAAAGCTGATGGAGCATTAGGAAAGGATCTGAACAGCAAAGTTACTTGAATATCAGAGTATACGTATTACCTAACAGACGGATTGCTTAGATTAGTTCCTTTTGTATCTATCGATTCCACTGCTCCTGTGGAGTAATTTACGTTACCAAGTTTTCTAAGAATTTACACTCGTGTCCTTGAACATCCTTCAGGATGGCTAACCAAATGTATAGTTAAGACTATAAACAACTCATATTCAATCCATTTAGTTCAGTTGAGTCATAAAGTCAGTTTTCTATAGTTTGTCATGTTAGTAATTATCCCCTAAAAGCAATGGCCATACGGGTTGAAAAAACTGGAGCTCTTGGTGCAGAATAATAATCCAATTATGTCTCGTACATAGAACAACTTCATTCCCAGTAGATCGATATTCGTCTTAATTAAAAAATGACCTACTTTGACCGATGTACATATAACCACTCTTTTTTTGCATTTTTGTAACTAGATTTATCATGTGCAAATGTTGTTGTCACATATTTTTTCTGATCATTACAATGATTAATCTTTTAAGCATAAAGAATCTGATTAGCACTTACCCTGTTTATTATTTGATCTGATTTGTTAGAACGTTATTTTTCTCACCCTATATTGTCTGCATACTTGTTTTAAATGGTGATCTTACGATTTCTGTTAAACTATAAACTTATTGAAGTTACTATTACATAATAGTTTTTTTTAATAGTCTATTGAATTGTTTGTTATAGTAGACTTTGTAGAACTCTGGCTTAATGACAATGGTAGTACAGATTTATTCTATAAGGTTCAAACCGCACTTCATCTAATTAGGTTTAGATAACAGAGTAATGTCACTATAACTTGTGGAGTACATAAACCTATACATGGTAAGTTTTAGAGAAAAAAGATAAAATATGAAATGGCATATTTAAACTATGCAACGACGATAATATTTCCAGGATAAGATGAATCCGTTATAGTTTGTTACTTTCTATTCTGCCATAAACAAGATGATATTTTTAATTATTCCCAATCGTTAACATAATTTTTAGTATGGGGTTGTGGGGATTGTTGAGATATGAACAAAACAATCACTGAGAACCCGGACAACTGTTTGATCCGAGTGTGGGGATCCTCAAAAATACCCATCCAGAATCCTACCACTTAAGATCGAATCTAGATCCTTTGTTATTGTGAACATTGAGCTGGAATCCAGTTATATGTAAGTCTAACTTCAACCTGTTATATCCACAGTCCTATTGTTTATACTTGAAAACGAGGAACCAGTACAATTCTCACGATGGGAGGTAAGAACACGGAAGACTGGTACAACGAAGATTTATTGGCTCCAAAAACATGACCAATTTAGAGTGAATATACTCATGTACTGATTTTATATACACTTGATGATTGCTTAATAACATCATATAAATGTCAAGATACATAAGTTTAATATAAACACAAACAAAGTTGACAGAGAATTGTATAAATGTTACCCCACCTAAAGTTCATATCTGTCATATTGAACAAAGATTTACACTTAATTAATACGAAACATGTTGACTTGAAATAATATCACATATAAAATATAAATCTAATATTGTACTGACTAAAATGTTATCAGTCAATCAGCTTCAACGTGGGACCAGGCACATATGCATCGGTCCAGATTGCCACACCTCATTAGTACAATAAGATGAACACCAAATTCATGGAAGTAGCTACATCAATGGTAGTAATATAGAAAACGAAGATTGTGCATAAGGATATAGTACAAGAAGAAAGAAAGATGTCAAGCAATTTTAATCTCATAATTTAAGGGAAGACAAAGAGTGTAAACACTAACGTTATTGTGATCGATTCTGAATCATGTCACCCAGAGTCTCCAACCGTTGGTTACGATAGTCAGAATAACATCTTAGTGTTATTCTGAGGATAAAACCAGTGTCAACTGTCACTGGAAATGAACTAATATTATACTGAATAAAATGTTACCTTGAGAATAAGGTAATGTCACAGAAATAGAAACTAATGTCAGAAATTTCATACACATAGTTCCCTTTGTTATCTTAAAGAGAGCAAGAACGAAGATTGGTGCAGAATACTATGAATTCACTTTATTTCGTCAGGTTCTTATCAGCTGCTTACAACCCAAAATATTTGAAAATCAACGTTACTATTGTTATTGACATACTTATACATACGAGGGTGAATAAAGATGAATATATGTATCATGATGTAACGAAGATTACGATAGAGTTAATAAGGTCATAAAAATCTTTGTTTCGGATAAAGTTTGGGAGAGAAAGTTCCAGAACATTGAAATAGTGATTAGAACTCATGAAGTAAACAAACATTAGATAATTATGTAATAAAGCAACTAAAAGTAGATTAATGGTAATAAAGATATGAATTGAAATCAGTCATGAATTTGTAGTGACTCACATTTATCACGAGAACACGACTGGTTTAATAAAAACAATTATTATTATAACCAACTGTACCAGTGTTTATTTTAATGTGC